GGCTCCTGAGATTGTTTCAGGTACCCCATTCTCAACTCCCCTGTTTGATTCTTCATGTAACTTTCCAATATGAAATCTCAACATTGAAATGTAAAATGTGGATGGCAGGAGAAGGGCATGGGAGTGCGGTGGACTGGTGGACACTAGGGATATTCATGTTCGAGCTATTCTACGGAACTACACCGTTCAAAGGTATGGACCACGAGCTAACTCTTGCAAACATCGTGGCTCGAGCTCTCGAATTCCCAAAAGAGCCAACGATTCCTAGCGCGGCCAAGGATCTGATCTCTCAGCTACTAGCCAAGGACCCGAGCCGACGGTTAGGGTCGTCTCTAGGTGCAACAGTCGTGAAACGTCACCCATTTTTCCAAGGAGTGAATTGGGCGTTGCTCATGTGTACTCGTCCTCCTTTTCTTCCTCCACCTTTTCGCAAAGACCTTTTGTCAGATGACATTTGTCCTGAAACCCATGTAGACTATTATTAATTATCTTAATTAGCACTACGTAATTAATTAATTTTCTTCGGATATAATTATTTCTAAGAAAGAACATCATCGTAATATAATTAGCACTAGTATAGTTTCATTTCATGAAATAAAAACTTAGCACAAATGCATTTAAGAAATGTGTAATACAGTTTCATTTCATGAAACAAAAATTAGTACAAATGCGTTTAAATGTTCTTTTTTTTTTCATAATAATTCTGACACACAAATAGAAACCAAGACATGTAACACGTTATTTGTGCTACTCATTTAATTCTAAGTTTCTAACCAATAAAACTTTTATTGTTGGAAAGAAAAAAAATTGATACCAAAACAAGAAATTTTAAAAGTTTTCCGAAATTATTACTCCCTTTGTTTCATTGTTTTATATATAAGATACTTGTTCGAATTTTTTTTTTTGCTTAATTTTTATAAAATTCTTAGAACAAAATTCATATTTCCATATTATTTTATGACCATATTAATTCTTTAATATTTTGTATGATTGGTTGAATTAATTTTCACTATATATTAAAAATAGTAAATTCTAAACTTGGCGACAAAAAAAAAAACAATCATACACCTAAATATGCATTTCAGTCATTTATTGTTTACTGAGATTTTGGTACAACTAACTAAATGAGTTCCACATTTATGGATCATCACAATTCACAACATAAAGAAAATTATTGATGTCTTTCTGAATACTACTGCCATTTTTTTTGAATTTAAAACAAGCAAAAAAAATTTTAAAATCATTTTCCAATAGATGTGGAAAGATAAATGACGGAATTGAATGAAGAAGACCCACGTGCCTCATTGATGACATACATAGAAGTTCACGTGCATGGCTTTATTGTAATTGTACTTTTGGCTTATCCTAAAACTTTACAAACCAATCATTGATTCTTTCACCAAGTTCGACCGTCGTCATGGGTAGGGTTTAGATAAGTGTAGTCATGAGATTGGGTTCTTCTCTAATGAGTTTCATCATCATATAGTAGCTGCCTCGGTTTCGGACAAGTCTAGAAGAAAAATAATGTATATCAAATAAACATTTTTGTAAAGCAAACACATAATTTTACTTATCAATTTTTCGATCTAAAAAACTCATATGGTTTAGCTTTAAAATGTTATTCTTTTAAAATTCAACAAAATTATAAAATGTTTCTTACAATAAACCGATGCAAAGCAAATATCACGAACTTATCTACTTGTGTGCTCTTTGTTAAGTGTCACCAAGAACTTGAGGCCAATAATGATCTAGTAGTTCTCTTAAGGCTCCCCATGCACCTAACCTTGCTTTTTGTTTACCTAGAACATCGATGATGTTTTTCTTAGGGGGATGTTTTACCTTTCTTTAAAAGGGTCGGACCCAAATAAGTGAGCAAAATCCAACAGAAAAGCTAGAAGGATGAGTCACATCATTATTAGGATATACTTGAAATATTAAGATGTGATCTATGATTGTATCATATAAGAAAATCTCATTGTGTATTGATATTCATCTTGTGTTAATGAATCAGCCAAACTTTTCTAAATTATATCAATCGTCAAAGTCCCTCGAATTTTTGGAAATTCGCCTAGACATACTAGCATTTATCTCTATAACTACGAAAGATACGAAGCAATGAAACATTAATTTGGATCCATAATTTCCGATAAAGCATAATATACATCTAGCTCGTCTAAAAATAATTAATTTGGAGTCTTTATAGTTCATCAAATCGTTTATTCGATAAACTGTAAGCTCGTCTAATCTACTTTTTGCTCGACTTTGGCCATTTGTAGTAGTTTTAGCAAGCTCGACTTTGGAAATTTTTAATTTCTTAACACAGTTTTGTAGTCTCGACTCATCGAGAAAATGTTTGTTTTTTTTATTTTTCTAAAAACCCACAACTTACTTATTAAATTTCGAAAAGAAAGTTAGATATATAGTAATGGTCGAGTTTTTGCTTCCAAAATTAAAATTTTGTTGAAAACAAATAATTTATATTTTAACCTTCATAATTCCCTTGGTTCTCCATTAACGTAGATATGGCCAAATATATTAAAACAAAAATTCGAAGAAAATCAATAGAAATTATTTTTTCTAAATGATAGTTTAGTTAAAAGTCAATGCTTACAACATGATCGGTCGGTTCCAAAAACACGTAGCAAACATGAAAACAGAAACAAACAAAAGGGGAACTATATATAAGCTGGATTTATCACATTAACACTTTTTCTTTTGTATCTACATTACATTTAGAGATTCCAGTTCAACATTTTTCCGAGTTAAATTGAATGGGTGTAGATTTCGATTTCAGAATTTTCTATAAAAATGCTCTACAATGGAACCAATAATTATGTAGGTAACGTTTTAATTGTTTCATATATATGTATGTAGGGAGCAATACACGTACTCTTTTGTTAAATCAATGAATAGAAAGAATCTGGTCTCTTGTCTTTGTATATGAGAAGAACTCATCAAATAGAGTTTCTCATTGCTCTACTAATTAATAAAGGAATTAATATAATAACTATTTATAGAGAAGTCTATTTAAGTTTCCTCAAAGAGGCTTACTGGTTTTGTCTGAATCTTCATGTAAATGTCCTACTTCCACGTGATATGTTTGGTAGGGGAGGGAGGCTAATTATGGGATTGAGTATTATGTATATTTCATAAATACATCCATTTACAAAAGCTTTATGTAGATGATTCACATACATATGGCAGCCTCTGAACTCTAATTTGATGTTTTCTAAGGACTCTCAAACGTTTAAATTAGTGAAGATGGATATTATATAGACTAGGTTAATCAGATATTGGCATATCGTGGAAAAACTATTTTATGATAATTATTTCAAAGTAATTCTCACTAATAACATCGGTTTAAGTTTTTAGTTCAAAATTAGCACACATTTATATATCATTAAAATATTAATTGAATTAAAACAATGGTAAAACCGTGAGAATTGGAGAGTTGGGGTTCTACTTCCGAGGGAGAACACAATGAGAAAAAAAATAGAGAAATGTGAATTAGGAAAGAGGTGTTCCATTTATTTTGTAAATTCTTTAAAATTTTTAATATTTTATTTTACTATTAGTTATTTCTCACAATATTTTTATATAGTGGGAGAATATGCAATATTTTATTTTTAAAAAAAGAATTGTAATGATTCACCAAATAAAACAAACATATCAACGTTTAATTAAATAAACTAAAAATTCCTACCAAAAAAAAAAATAAATAAACTAAAAATTGCAATGGTTTGTTATCAAATAATTAAATGGTAGCAACAATTCACTTAAAGATATATTAGTAATTAAATATCAAAAATATAATTTAGGAAGAGGTGTTTTGATACGGTAGCTTCTTCTGTAGTAGAGGCTACAACCTATGTAAGTCTAAGTAATTGCTTTTTTGGTTGACCCATGGACTAATCCAGACTACTCTATATTACGTCGCTTCCTTTAGGTAACATGCATATCATCTATTCCCATGAGCAGATTAATGTCATTAGTCACTGAAAAAACGGATCAGTACTTAATAGTTTTGAGACCAACTCGCTACAATTGTTTGAAAAGTGTGAAGTTGTATTAAGTAGAAATAAAGCAAAAGTTGAAAAAGTGGAACCATCATTATCAAATTCATCTCCTACGGTAAAATCTAACACACTAAATAAGATCATAAGACAAATAATAAGGATCATAAGGTTCGCACCCAAATTGTATGTGCAAAAATATACCTAAGGTTGCAATGGTATATTTGATTATGGGGTATGAAAATAAACCTAAACTTGTAATGGTTCACTAAATAAACTAAATGTTGTACGGTTTTTCAAATATACCTAAGGTTGCAATGGGATGTTAAATAAACCAAACTTTACAATCATTCAATTAGGCAGTTCTATATGTGATAAGTAAAAGAGACTTATTCAGATAATTAGCTAGACATGCTCCAATGATTTTTTTTGAAACCACAGTTTTTCGGATTTTAATACATATACAAAAAATGTCTATATATAGACACTAGACACACCGAAAAGAGTCAGTAGTTTACGAGAATAAAAATTAATAACTAAATATTATTTTTTGTTATTTAAATATATGCATTATCTTATACATCGAAAATTATAAAACTTGATGTTGTAAATTAAATTTGTAGTAAACAATTAAACATTTACAAGACCTTAAAAACTGTATTTATAATGGTTAGTTAATTGGGTACCTTGAATTTTCATGTGATAAATTGAAATCATTGCTTTTCTTTTAATAACTATGATCATTTCTGGATTAGTATGTCGTTTACTACAATTTAAATGTCCAACACATTAAAACGGTTCATTTGTCGTTTGCAACAACAACAGCGAAAACTCAAACTAAAGAATCGAACTCTGCAAATATCTAATTGGGTTAGGCTCATCAATTTATATATGGGCTTTTCAGGCCCAATAAATTGTTTAGTTCATGAATCTCCTTCTCTTCCTCTCTTCTTTCTCTTTCTGAAAATTCGAAGTTGCAGCAACCTTTGCTTTCAATCGACGAAGGAGTTTTGAGTTGAGAGGAAGAGAGAGTTAGGAATCAATGGAGGAAGTATCGAAGAACGGTGGAACGGAGAGTCCGACTAAAGAACTGGCGGTGGTTACAGTGCCGCCGTCTGAAGTGGAGGAGGAGGAGCCGTTGGTCGGACCTGGACCTGCTCCACGAGGAAAACGCAAGCGTCCCCTTCAGTTCGAGCAAGCTTATCTTGATTCGCTTCCTTCTGCTAATATGTAAGTATGTCTTGTGCTTTGGAACTTTCTCTGTTACTCATCAATCTAGCCCAGTCAAGTTTTGGGGGTTTAGGGTTTTAGTTTCGACGAATTGGTGCTTCTTCTCCGTAACCTAGTGTAATTAAGCTTGTTAACGAGCTCACATTTCAATGAAGATCTCGAATTAGTGTCAATAGTTAAGTCCTAGTTAATACATTGGTGGTTCTTATTACTGCTTCAATTTGAGTTTTTTGGTGAGTCCTAGTTAAACATTGGTGGTTCTTATGGCTGCTTCAACTTGAGCTTATTGGTTTCTTATTGTTTTTGGAATTTATGAGATTTGTATGCTTTGTAATCTGTGAATTGGTCTTGAACAGTGTGCTGGCAAGTTATTAATCTCTTGTATCTTTTGTTTTTTTTTTCCTCCAGGTATGAGAAAAGTTATATGCATCGCGATGTAGTTACACATGTTGCTGTTTCAGCTGCTGATTTCTTTATAAGTGGAAGTATGGATGGTAATGTTTCTGATCTCTATGATATTTATGAAATTTATGAGTTCATTTTGGTTTTGTAATGTCCAAGTATGAAATAATATCTGTTATATGGATTACAGTGAAGCATTTCTATAAATTTGTTTTCTTTCATAATCTAGGTCACTTGAAATTTTGGAAGAAAAAGGGAGTTGGTATCGAGTTTGCTAAGCATTTCCGCTCCCATCTTGGTCCAATTGAAGGTCTAGCGGTAAGTATCGCCAGTGATTTTTTAATGTGAGCTCTGTTTTTTTATAGATTTAAGATACTGTCACCTCAAATCCAGGGCATATGCTCCATGTTTGATTGAAAGATCATCTTTTTATTTTTTATTTAATGAATTATGATAGTTGACCACCTGGTAGGAACTTATAGTTACATGTTATGGTTTCCACAGATTTTGTGTTTGTTTCTAGTTCTGTTATCAACCATGACTCGTTTCAGCAATGCAGGTTAGCATTGATGGTTTGCTTTGCTGTACAATCTCAAATGATCATGCTGTTAAAATATATGATGTTGTCAACTACGACATGATGGCTATGATTGCTTTGCCATATATTCCTGGTGCTGTTGAGTGGGTCTACAAGCAAGGGGATGTCAAAGCCAAACTTGCTGTTAGTGACCGAAACTCATCGTTTGTGCACATTTATGATCCCCGTTCTGGTTCCAACGAACCCATTGCTTCCAGAGAGGTTTGCTTCAATCTGTTTTTCTTTTGTTGCTATTTCTTGACTCATCGTTTTGTACAAAGCTAAAAAGTTTTTTTTATGCGCAGATACATATGAATCCAATTAAGGTTATGAAGTATAATCCTATTGCAGACACAATGATCTCTGGTGACACAAAGGGAATCATTGAGTACTGGAGTCCAACGACATTGCAGTTTCCGGAGGATGAGTATGTCCTTGTCTTACTTCTTATCATAAACAATTTTATTATTTCCATTTTGGTATTGTTGTTTGTTTTCTATTAGTTGTAGACAGTAGGGTAAGAGGGGCATACATGTTTCCTGTGAGTGGCTGATGTAGTTAAATATCATATTACTGAGAATGACGCAAAGAGCAGACGATAGTAGAAATACTTTAGTTGCCAACTTTTAAGTTGATAATCTATAGAATCTAAGTATGGTTGATGGGCTGCTTTCACCTATGGTTCAGAGGTTGACCATTTACTTGCTGCTGTAGGGTAAACTTTAAACTGAAGAGTGATACAAATCTCTTTGAGATTGCAAAGTGCAAAACAACAATCTCTGCCATTGAGGTACTTGTGTGACATTTAAGTATCTTTAGTATCTCTTTATGTGCTTAAAATGCAGATATAAGCAATTGATATGTCTGGTGAAAATCATAGTGCAAGTTTTCGTCTCTAAATTTAGTGAAATTCTATTCAGGTGAGTCCAGATGGTAGACAGTTTTCCGTAACATCTCCTGATCGTAGGATTCGCGTGTTCTGGTTTATAACTGGTAAACTGAGGCGGGTATATGATGAGTCACTTGAGGTAAGATTTCATATTCTATGCTTCGTTCCTTACATGTTGCTTTCACATTAATCTTAATATCTATTCCACTATTAGGTGGCCCAAGATCTGCAGAGGAGTGATGCACCATTATACAGGCTTGAAGCAATTGATTTTGGTAGAAGAATGGCAGTTGAGAAGGACCTTGAAAAAACCGAGAGCGCTCCGCAGCCCAATGCTGTTTTTGATGAAAGCTCTAATTTCCTTATATACGCCACTCTTCTTGGAATAAAAGTAAGAAATCCACTTATTTTTTTTCCGTTTTAAAGTACCATAGACTAGCATTTCAGTCTAGTCATGATATGTATCCTGTCTCACATGAACATGATACAATTAACAAGCTTAAAGACCTGAGCCTTTCACCACCGGCTAGCCTTCACTTAGGTGATTAAAGTTACCAGGATTTAATGAGGTTACTTTTCTTGTTACCATATATTTAAGTGGTTAAGCTCTCTGCCAAAATGGTGAATGTAGAAGAAAATAATTCAAAATTTTGGAGTAAATTTGAGTGTCTAAGGGGGTGTGGAGGAGCTCCTTTATTACAAATCCTCAATATCGTTGTATTTCTAGCAGATCATATGTAAATGCGGACCAGATTCGCTAGTTTGATTGTATCAGAACTTTTCCATGCTTTGTAAATGGAATGATAACAAGCAACTGCTAATTTTCTCTATCTACCCTTTTGTTCTCTAGGTTATAAATTTACACACCAATACAGTTGCAAGGATCCTTGGAAAGGTGGAGAGTAATGAAAGGTATCTGAGAGTTGCATTATATCAAGGTGATCAAGGAGGCAAGAAAGTTAGGAAGATTCCAGCAGCTGCGGCAAATGTAAATGAAAGCAAGGAGCCTTTGACTGATCCGACTATTCTCTGCTGTGCCTTCAAGAAACACAGGATCTATATGTTCAGGTATGTGACTCATATTGTGCTAAAATGTTGCGGGAGAAAGAAACATATTTTCCCACCTTTAGATTCTAATTTGTAGAAATATCTTCTATATTTTTCTATATATCCCTAGAGATACCTTGATATTGCCGAGGCCAGTGGCGGAGCCAGCCGTGACATTTACATGGGTCATTTTGATTTTTTTCTGAGCAAATGGGTCATTTTGATTCTAAAATCTAAAATATCCATTTCAAACAAAATTTTGTGGGGGTCAATAAGCACATTTTAAACCATTCAACTAAATTTGTTTCTAAAACTACCAGTAAAATAACAATTTTTAAAAATCCATAAGGGTCAATTGACCCTCGTGGTCACTCTATAGCTCCGCCCCTGGCCGAGGCCTACTATGAATTTATTATCAACAAATTGGTTTTGCAGTCGGAGAGAACCAGAAGAACCTGAAGATGCAAGCCAAGGGAGAGATGTGTTCAACGAGAAGCCTGCTGCTGATGAACTTATGGCTGCCTCAGATATTGGAAACTCAGCCACAACATTGCTTCCAGAGAATGTGGTATGTTTTCACAAGCCACGATGTTTGCATCTTTATTACTAATTACATAGTCTGTAAGTTGGATCTTTAACACAGTAATGATTTTAACTCCTAATTATCCAGATCATGCATACTTCGCTGGGTGACATTCACATGAAGCTTTATCCAGAAGAATGTCCCAAAACTGTGGAGAATTTCACAACACACTGTCGAAATGGCTATTACGATAACCACCTTTTCCACCGGGTTATCAGAGGATTTATGGTTCAGACTGGAGATCCTCTTGGGGATGGTACTGGAGGACAGTCTATATGGGGCAGAGAATTTGAAGACGAGTTTCACAAAAGGTAAACGTTTCTTACTGCCATGCCTGCTTTGAATTTAGCCCTCCTTTAGAAACAAATGAAATGTTACTTAGTTTGTGATATGTTGTTGTTCTTCTTGACCTGCAGTCTACGGCATGACAGACCTTTCACATTGTCTATGGCAAATGCTGGCCCAAACACAAATGGGTCTCAATTCTTTATCACAACGGTGGCTACACCGTGGCTAGACAATAAGCACACTGTTTTTGGAAGAGTTGTGAAGGGAATGGACGTCGTTCAGGTATGATTGACAACCAAAACGAATGTTTTTACTTGTTGGCTATAGTGTGGCTTTATATCTAACCATAAAACCCAAATGAACAGGGTATAGAGAAAGTGAAGACTGACAAGAACGACAGGCCTTACCAAGATGTTAAGATAGTTAATGTCACTGTTCCTAAATCTTAGCATCTTTGCTCTTCTCTCAAAGATTCTGAACAATCGTTGCTGATCCATACCCCGTGATTGGTTCCGTGCTGGGACGTTGGTCTTGCGGCTAATCTGAACTTTGTCGTTAATCTGAGATGGATCGAACTGTGGGATATGTTTGTTGTGCCCGAGCTGATTTAAGTTGGTGGCATCATCTTCTTGATAGTACTGAACATAATTATTCTTAGTTTTGCCAAA